TAATACAACAATATGCTTATGGTAATGACGCAAGAATTTTTGAAGAATAAGAGTAATTAATTGGGCTCATTGTGGAATTAGCCCAGTTTTTGGGGTGGATGCAAATGCAATAGAGAAAATGTTTAACGAGTGAGGGAGATCAATGTATAAAAAATTGATTAAGAAAATTGCACTTAAGCCTTTTAAGGGTATTAAAGTGTAAAGTTCGATGAGTACGGGGTCCAAATAAATTTTAGTGAATGAAATTTATAATATATATAGTTTAAACCAATGTTTTAAAACCCAATCCGGGGTGAAACCTAGCAAAGTTGTCGGGTCCCGGGTTGACCGGTTTAACCGGCGGTCAAACCGGTTGACAAAAACTTTTAAACTTCAGCAAATACACCTTTAAAAATTACAATTACATCCCTATAGGTTTAAAATTTAGCAAACACACCCCAAATACAAATTGGTCGGCGACTGGTTGACGGCGATGACACCCCAGATGCAACCCTAATCGTCCATTGGGATCATTCACCTTAAAATAGAAATAGGTTCGATTTTGGCCAAATCTCACTGACGCTGGCATTAACATTCTAGGCCAGATCTCATCGATGCCGGCGTTGAAAACCTTCCCCATCACCCAAAAATTACTCCCCTCTTCCTTCCGATCAAAACCCACTTCACCCCACCCCTGTTAGCCTCGCCGGCAAAAGCCGGTTGTTGCCACTACCAGTTTTGTTCGATTTCCGGTAGATTTACTCACCTAAAATCAACACCGTCACCACCATTGCATTCACCGGCAGTTTCTCTTCAAAAGCCTCAACATCTCGGCCGGCAATTGTTCGCTGATCATCCTCCCAAATCATAGGGATTTGGGTGAATAGGAAAAACATAAACCCGGCCCGTTGAAGCTTCTGGGTCCCGGTTCAACCAGTTAAACCAGCCGGGTCGGGCCGGGTTTTTAAACAATGGTTTAAACTTACTCATCCCTAGATATATGAGATCGTTAAGGTGAATTGATGATAGTTTGATTTTCTTCCCTTGCCAAAAGGTTTTGCTATAAATATGTATTTAACTGCCCTTTCATTTTCAAATCCATGCATTTTACATCACGGCAATTTCTGCTTTTTAGTTTTTACTACCCTAGGAAAACTCATGACCCCAGGACCGTTCCTTCAGGATTTGGGCCAGTCTCTCAAGGACCGGTCCCAAATTGGGCCCGGTCCTTGAGGGCTCAGGCCCGGGACCGACTGGCCGGGCCTTGCCCACCTCTAAATGAAACAATAAATAATCATCAACACTTAAAAGTGGGGTTACTTCAAGAGACGAAATGTACCAATTCAAAGTTGAGTTGAATTAGAGACTTGTGTATTGATCATTCATGGTATTCATATGGGTTAAAGAAGTCAAATTAAGTTGAGCAACTGAGATATCAGACTTGTCTAGACGTTTATGAACTGAAGTACACGGAATCAAGTTAACCATTCTTGTCGGTAGTCTGAAAACAAAGTGATGCTACAGTTTGTTCAGATAAAATTATTGACTGTATCATGAATATCAAATTTATATAGCGTCTGCAACAATTCTTAATAAAAAGAATAATATTTTCGTGAGGAACGAGGAAGCAGAGATTAAAGATACCACAGAACATGCAATTTCTGAAACAATTTACCCTATTAGTTTTTCCGAAAAACTAATCTCATTATAATATGAAATAAACTGTGATTCAAATGTTTCATCAAATAATTAAGTCCAATATTTATATGTTTCAACATAAAAACGATATATATTCTCATTAAGACACATGAAAATCAATTTGAAGGATAGAGAAAATTATTTCTTAATTTTATAACCATGGGGACCAATAGCAAAATTCTACTGCTTTGCTTCAAATCCATATGGTAACAAGCAGGGACGTAGCTAGAAATGAAATGTGAGAGGATAAAAGTTAGAAGAATAATATAATTTTAAATTAAAATAAGCACAAATTTTGTATTTATAAAATTCCCATTAACTAATACATTTATAATTGTCTTCGACGAGATTTTATCTTTTGAAGGCATTGTATAATGACTTTATTATTAATACTATCAAATATATTTTTCTCTATGTACATAACTAAGCTATTTTTCAACCATTGATTACTCATTCTATTTTGAAAACGACTTTTCCATACAATTCATTGTTGAAAATGCTCTCTCTACACTAACAGTGACAACGAGTAGAATAAATGCTAATTTCATCAACAAATAAACTAATGGAAATACTATCCTTTTTTGTTTCAATCATCATTTTTGCAAGATCTCCAATTCTTTTCGATCCCATAAATTTGACATTAGAATGCATATCCAAACTGCAAACATCAAGTTGAGACTAAAGTGTCATGAGTTTTAAGTTAGAAAAACTTTCTGGATAAAGTTCGGCAAGGCTCAAAAATTTTTGATTTTGTTTGGACATAAATATGCCAAACAAATTGAATTGATATGTGTAAAAAATCTATTCAAATAACCAAACACTTGTACAATTAAATCCACTTTTTTATAACACTTGTAAAACAATTAAAGTTAACTCCCACTTGAATCAAACACTTTTTTTTTTATAACAAATATAAATGGACAAAACAATGTGGTCCCAAGAACCCATCTTCTCCGTATAAAAAAAAAAAAAAAAAAAATCGGCGTACATGTTAGTTGTCCCAAGGCCAACTCCAAAATAACTTTAAAAATATCTTGTTACTTCCTCTAACTTCAATATATCATTACCAAAAAAAAAAAAAAAGGTACAATTTGTGGTCCATTGGCAATTTCATCTTCATAAATCTTAATCAATAATTTAATCTTAAACTTTCAAAATAAAATAATACAAATATAAAATTTATTAGTATTGTTGGGATATTGTGGCTCGCTTTCCTATTTGTTACCATGTGAAATTGTATGTCTTTAGGAAAACTATTTAATAAATAATACAATTGTAAATAGAAATAGAATTTATGAGTCCTATTAGGAATTGAAATATGAATCTTATTAGAAAAAGAATATCGCATAGACTACTTATAAATATAGGGGTAAGAACTGATTTAAGGTTATAAGTGAATGTGAGAACACATGGTATTTGATGTAAGGATTATTAAATATCATGGGAAAGTGTCTTAGAAACTGGGATCGTTTCCACTCTAAGTATTAGGTTGAGCGTGATTAGAAACTATAATTGTTTCCGCTTTGTTTTATGTATCGGGTTTATGGTGTTGTGTATAGTGTACTCTCATACATCATGTGCATGAAACTATAGTGGATTTCTCTCATCCATAGATGTAGGCGGGTTATGCCGAACCACGTAAATATCGTGTCTCTTTGTGTGGTGTGATTTTATTCCTATGTTATTTATCTCAAATGTATGTTTTCTGCTATGCGATCTCCTAACAAGCACTACACGAAAAATGCCTTTCGACGTCTAGCAAAATTAGACGCAGAAAGTAACATTTAGATGCTTAGCCATTTTTCGCGTCTAAATTTCGTAGTCACCACGTAGTTGCAAAATTGCTGTCGTAGATTGTTTGCACATCTAAATTTTTGTTTAGACGCAGAAAGTTTTTTTTTAGCAACTAGCAAATTAATCGCTAATTGCTGGTCAAAATAGTCCCCNAATTTGAGTTTAAAATGTTTCAATACATAGATAGTCAAATGAGGAAATAGATATTTATTGAAAGTTGAAGCCTCTCTTTCACAGTAATTTCAAATGGAGATGTGAGCTTGGGTAGTTAAGTATTTAAATCAATGTTTTCAAAACCCAACCGTGAAACCTGGCAAAGTTGCAGGGTCTCGGGTTAATTGGAAGTTAAACTGGTTGACAAAAACTTTTAAAATTTAGCAAATATACCATTAAAAATTACGTTACATCCCTATAGGTTTGAAATTTAGCAAATACACCCCAAATATAAATTGGTCGGTGACTGGTTGGCGGTGACGACACCCTAGATGCAGTCTCAATCATTCCTTCAGCCCATTCTCCTTAAAATATATCGAAGATCTGGCCAAAATTGGATTTCGACCAAATATCAACGAAGCTGGCGTCTGCATTCCAAGCTAGATCTTATCGACATCAGCGTTAACAACCCTCTCCATCACCTAGAAATTACTCCCCTTTTCCTCCTGACCAAAACTCACCTCACCCCACCCCTGTTAGCCTCACCATTCACCAATCGCCGGCAAAAGCCGATTGTTGTTGCTACCAGTTTTTGTTCGATTTCCGGTCGATTTACTAACCGAAAATCAACGTCGTCACCACCATTGCATTCACCGGTAGTTTCTTTTCAAAAGCTCTAACATCTCGACTAGCAATTGTTCGCTGATCATCCTCCCAAATTTTAGGGTTTTGGATGAATAGGAAAAACATAAACTCAACCCGTTGAAGCTTTCGCATCTTGATTCAACCGGTCGGGCTGGACCGAGTTTTAAAACAATGAATTCTAAATAAAACCAAAGTACAAATTCCTAATGACCTACTTAACATTGGGTTGCATGAAAATCAACTTTAAAACGATTGATAGTCTTTTTTGGAGAATCATCTCATGCAAAACTGCCCTTTTGCCTTTTCTTTCCCAGGGAGGGAGTGTGGAACATAAGACTGTTTCCACCTTTTAAGTAAACATTCTATCAGTAACACATTTGTAAACCACCGTTGGGTGTCATAATAATAAAAGTAAAAAAAGGTTTTATAAGCTCCACTAATAAGAGTGATCATTAGAGTTTTTACCTATTCGACAATTTCAAGACGTTGGGGGATTAGTTGAGATGCATGAAGGCGAATCTGGAGACACTCAGTAATTTAAAAAAAAAAAAAAAAAAATTACAAAAGATAGCATATCATTTGGATGAAAAATATGGGTTTTCATTTGGGATACATAGCATAATTCTTTGTATTAGGTGGAGCACAAAAACATTTAAATCGTTGTACGGTTGTATATAATTCAGTATAACAGATAAAGAGAAACCTTTCTGCCTCCTCTACATACAAATATGAATAGTTCCCCGCCTAAGAACACTCTTCAGCCAAAAGGTGTTTACAGAAAGCAACCATATGTTATTCATACATGAACAATTCAAAGGCTAAATTCTGAACTATTTACAGACATCTTGTTTTCATTACTTATCACAGTATCAGATTGTATGCTCGCGCCGACAATGTCACCATGCACTTGGGTGAATATATTCTGCTATCCACTCAATATCCTTCTAAATGCTTCCAAGGTTGGAAGATGATGGCATATATTCCCAAAATTTCTTTCTTACGGATGAACACCCTCACCCAAAGTAAAGCAGAAGTTTCTTGGGGATGCAAGTCTGCAACCAATAGATATGGCTCTAAACTCTTGCCATAGAATAACGCTTAGTTGAAATAAGGTCATTATAATAGGTTTATCCTCGCAGGCTTACAGCATCATTAAGTGAATAATGCAGAAAAACATTTTGGAGTTGCAATATAACTGAAAACCAAACAATTTAATGCCACTCCTAAGAAAATAAGACTAGCTCACATATGTTTGCACTTTTTTCCTGATTTTATTGACTCTATTATAGCCAGCAACCTAAAGGTTGTATCAAACAAGTGCTCCCTATAAATCATTTCTCAAACTTTTGCACATCAGTATGCAACAATAGAAACTTAATGATTTAACATAAGATTTCCATTCTTGTGCTGAGAAAAGACATATATAAGAATATCAATTTGTTCAACTCATGAAACAATCTATGATTTTAAGCAAAAACAATTTACATATACAAAAGCAAGAAATGCATTAAAATATGATATCAATGATATGAGCTCCAATAGAACTGTAATCTACCCTAGAAGCATATCCAAAGTCTTGAACAACAAGCAGAAAAGCTTACATCATCATGATCAAAAGACCTGCAACACAGGCCTCTTGCCGAGCCTCTTAATTTCTCTATCCATATTCCCGGTAAGCATCAATCCAAACATCTTGTAATCACAAAAAAGAGACCATAACGGGTGCCCAAAAGTAGCCGGAACATTTCCTTCAACAAAGAAATGACTATACCAGGCGAATCCATAACCAAAGATTGGCACACACACCAGAAAGCACCAATTAAACAATATCGAGAAAAGCAAAAAGATAATACTACTGAGTGTTCCCACAAAGTGCCAACGCCTTGTACTTTTTTTCGAGTGTTGGCTCACATAGAAAGCCCAAAACTCATCTAAGCTCCTAAAATTCATGTCCTCAAGCAATGGTAAACTAACCCAATTCAGAAAAAGAAGTTTTTATATCTCGATCTTGATCCTGATTGACAAGTGTCCTTTGAAAACCCTCCCTTATCAAAAAAAATAAAAAACAAAAAGCATAAAGGCAAAAAGGCAAAATTTTGATTATCTGGGTGGGTTTAGTTTAGTTTGGTTTGGTTTGACCAGGAAAAGACTGATTGGGTTTAGTGGTGAATGGTGATGAGATTGTGGCTATGATTCAAAACATAAACAGAGACCAAAAAAGATTAAATCTTTGATATGGGCTTGACTGTAATTTAGTGGGAAGATATTTGTGAAATGGATTGAATGATTACTTAAAGTAGTTTTCGATGTAATTTGGGAACAAACATAGTAAACAATAAACATTAAGGTGAGTTGTAGTTTTGCTTGGTCTTCTTGTGACAAATCAAGGTAGGTTTCTTGTCTCTGCTTCCATGGTTTCTTGCTACACTCTTTCCAAAGTATTTTATTATTTTATATTTGGTCCAATTTTTATTTTATTTATAATTATAATACTTTTATTTCACATTTATTATTCATCTTTTTTTTAATGATACAGTATATAATAATATAAATCTTCAACTTAAATCATTGACATAAATATTATGTCATTCTTATGTAACAATCCAATGATTAGAAAAGTTTTTAACATTTAAACTAAATTAATTTAAAATTTCTCCAAAAAATTAGTAGATGATGATAGATGAATAGTCATGAATTTGTCAAAATAATTTTAAATAAATAATATTTTTGGGTTTTATCATATTTTAGATTCAACTAACCACTAGTTTATTAATATCACGTCACAATTATAAAACACATACAGCAAATATTTAATTTTAAAACTTTTTAAAGGAAATATACTTATAAAATGATATAAGGGTGTTTTTGTCTTATTAAATGGCAGAGACTACAAACTTAAAAAAAAAAAATTAGCAATAAATTCAGGGGTAAAATTGTAATTTCCCTCCCTTGGAATTGGTACTATTGTCAATTCTATGGGAGTGTGATTCTATTTTTATAATAATTTATGGTTTTTGTTATTGTTGTCATGATGAGCTCATCGTCATTTGAAGAATCTGAAAAAAAATGTGACAATTGGCAGATACCTAGATTGTCTTTCTTTTTCTTGACCAAAACAAAAAGAAAATCAATATTTTCCTAAATCTCAATAAAAATTGGAATGGATTCCTAATCAGAAGGTAGGTTTATATTTAATTAATTTCGGTAGGTCAAAAGTTAAGTCTTCATCTCGAACCACTATGGGAGGTGGGATAAAGGTTTAAACAATAAATCCCGGGCTATAAATAAAACTGTTCAAATAAATAGGATTTTGACTATTACTAAAATCTCAAGGGACCATTTGGGATATTAATTTAAATAAAGTAAAACCGTTTTTCCGTCCAATAAAGGTTAATACTCTTCTATCTACAGACTTTAAAATAGCCTTTATTATTCTAAATTTGTACTCCGTGTCGATTTCCGGCATCGTTGCGACTTCCAACATTATTCTTTCTCACGCATCATCACTCACCAAAACCCTCAATCCTATTCCTACCAATCCCCGCCAATCATCGGTAATTAAGAAGATAGAGTTTGTGCAGCGAGCTTCAACGTCAAATTTGATCAATCCACACCAAAATCTAACATTGACCATCAAAGATTATTAATCTTCCCTCTTCGAAAGCCCTCACGCTCGAATAATTTGCTCCTGTTCGCCGTCAGAATATAAATTGTGATAGCAAAAATGGTATTTTAAAGTTTTGAGTGAAAAAATGTCTATTAATCCATATTTGGGTGAAAAAAAGTGTTAGCTCTTTAAAATATAGATTTTAAAAATAAATAAGTGGCTCAAATTCACAGTTTGATTAAATTGAAGAAATCCCCAGTAAGAGACACAGAGGATAAGTTCATATATATAAGGTACATTAGTAATTTTTGTTTCACAACAATTTAATACAAAAAAATCCATTTCCTAATTTCTTCTTCATTATCTTGGAGAGAAAATAAGAAACAAGGCATAAATCTCACATTATGTGCGACCCTTTTTTGCCTGCTCACACAAAGTTTACAAAGAAAATTAAAACTGATTGATGAAATTCTCTTCAATCTAAACCCATTTCATGCCTTAGACGTGATCCAAATTTTAATAAATAAATGAACTCTAGCTCACTGCTCTTTTTTGCTTTTTGTTTTAATCTTTTTCTGTTACTTCTTCATGATACAATCTAATTTCTGGCAGTCGATTAGAAGACGCGTTCACCAGTAGATACAGGTTCCAGAAAATGGTTGCGGCGAGTAAAGACGGGTGCCAGTGAGGAAGCTTGAAAGAGCCCAAGCCATTGAACAAAGTAACCAGTTCGATTGTACTGACTATTGCAGCTAATGTTCCTGCTGAATTTGAAATCCATGGAGAAATCCTGCAGAATCTGGGGCTATTCTACTAACATAACCAGGGAAACTAATAACTTTCAGGTTAAATCTCCATAACATATAAGAGATAGCGTTATTGTCTAAAGGATTTGTCATGAGAATGGGGAACTTACTTGCATATTTAGGAGAAATCCTGCCTGGCTGAAAGAGCTGAAGCTCAGAGCGCTGTGATAAGTGTAGCTGCAAATGCAGGCGTTTGGCAAAATTCAAGCAAAGCAATGACACTCCAGGTCCCATGAAACGTAGACTGTTAATCATGGTTAGTATCAGTAATGTGATTGTGAGGGACAATCTGACTGAAGTATTATGAGCTTGATAGAGGATTACCGCATACATTTCGCTAAAGCAGGGTAGCTGCTTTGATAAGTTATCTGATGCTTACCAGCAATATAGCCACCAAACTGCCATTGTCCCACGGTACGGCATGAACCAAGCGCTTGCGTTCAAGTTCACGTTGAAACCTGTTCGCCAGAAAGAAATGTATCGTCATGAAGGCTCATCATGCTGTACGAGTACCTGCAAACAGTATCAAAATAACCCCCAACATGATTGGTGAATGCATTTGAAACTTCAGAACCTCTATCGTTTGACTCTATATATAAATTTTCCTAATTGTGACAAGAATTAAATTAGTGCAGTAATTGAGAATATTGGGACTACATTCTGAAATAAATAGGCATCCAGTGAGAAGAACAAAGTATCCCTGTATATTGAAGGAAGTAATTCATAAGTATAACACATGGAAACTGTAACCATGGCGATGACTGTGTGTTCAGATAATGAAAAACTCACCAATTGTTAGTAATATTAGCCAAAATTATTGCCCAGTGTTGGCATTTTTGATAATAAGAGTCGCAGAGATGGAAGCTTTCCTTTCTTTCCTTTAGAATACGTTTTTCCAGCTTGGATAATCGCAGCCTGATTGGCTGACAAAAGGGCTATCTCGAGGACATGGTGGCCATAGATGACCATGTCGTATCCATGCACCCCAAGAGATGAGAAGAGAAGAAAGGACCAGAATCCAATTGTTGCCAACATAATAGGAGTAAGAACTAAACCGACAACATTGCCGAGATGAATACAGCATGGAGATTCCAACTGCACTTGCCGTTCATGACTCGGAAACCACTAATCAAAGATACACATCCAAATAGCTATCAGTCAAAATTCCTTACCAGATTAATAGTAAATGAGCTTGTCATACCACAAAATAATTGCAACTAAATTTAGGCACCCTTCTAAACAAATAGCCAAAATTCGCGTAGTATTATGCAAAGATGCATAGTAGGTTAGCAGGCATAAAATAAACACAGTTATCTGACTAAATGACAACCTACTAATTGACATTATAACCTTGATGCGAGGGTGCTCATGGCTGGCAGCACAGCCTTCGGCCATCCAAAAAGGCGCGAAACAGCTAAGAGGCGGCTGTAGAATGGTTGGCAGCCCATGGAGTGAAGAGTGGGACAAAGACCCACAACACACCACATGCCAGCACTCTTTTTCCTCCATATTTATCCACCAAAGGTCCTCCTACCACAGAGGGAATATGTTCCCCAAAAAAGGATGACTGCAGCACATGATGAACATATATTTCAATTAGCAAATACACAATCACTTGTCAGAATTTTACATCTATTAAAAGTGTAATTTAGGATGTAGTAATTCTTCTAGCAAGAATATTTAATTGCTTGATGGTTCTGATTGGTATACAACCGTCTCATACTTCCTTTTTCAGTATATTCATCATATAATAAATAATCACCATTCCATAATATAATCTTCACTGTCTTTACTTTTTTTACACTGTCCTATGACTATGTAAGTCTATCCTGATTTGGAAGCCTTAGCACCAGGCTGGGATAAGGTTAGGTGAAACTCAAACCAATCCGCAGGGAGGTGTACCCTAGCGTACAATGAATTACAATAGAAAGATGCGTGTGAGACCCAAATGATCTCCATGTGGGTCCATCTTTCATTGTTTATGTACACAATTTGCTCCACAAGAAAATTAAAATTGGCTTCGAAGAAAGGGACACACACCCGACAAGAGGCCCCCGCCCCCAACTTTCTATAGTTAAAGGCAGAAGAGAGCCGATAGGATTTCGTAAGGTCACATTGTGCTCTTGTGTTCTTAGAACAAACAAAAAAATACCCCACCAAATCAAGACGACAAAAAATATCCTAAATGAAAGAAAATTGCCGAGCACCAAGTTGTAACTTGAGATTTCTGAATTCATAAAGAAAAGGTGTATGGATCCAATACTTTTGACAGTAGGTTGCGGCATTCATTATTTGTTTCTTTTTCAAACGGCGTCGAGCTAATAATAACATTTACGTTTTCTCAAAACACATGCCGCACCTTTTTTCTTTATATTTTTTTATGCTTCTTTCTAATCGTTTCCAGAAACTAGACGACAGGAAATAAATTTTACTCTGTTGACGAAGTATAACTTTTTAAAGAGGTGAAGATTATCCATATCCTATGGATAATTAGAACCCGAAGAATTGTTTATATAAATTATAAAATCTTTTTTTTTTTTTTTCCATTAAAATACATCCAGAGAATCCAACTACCGTTCCAAGGAGAAGACCGAGA